ATTTCAGATTAATTTCACCAATCTTGCTATAACACTGCAAGTTGTACTACATAAGCACTTCACTCAGAGGACCCCGAACTGAAATAAATTGAGCAAGTACTTGTTGATCGTCTCCAGAAAAATGGTCAGCTATGCGAATGCATTCTCCTCCAATCCCTGGCAATAGCAAAGATCACCTACAGTTACAGATCCTTGATTCTGTAACTGATCAGATTACATGCAGATTACAATGATTCCAGATTAAATGCTGGTCTACAAAAGATTTCAGATTAATTTCACCAATCTTGCCAAAACACAGCAAGATATACTATGTAAGCACGTTGCTTAGAGGAGCCTGAACTGAAATAAATTGAGTAAGCTTAGGATGACCATTCTCCAGAAAAGTGGTTAATAATGTAGATACTTCCCCCACCAATCTCTTGTTCTCAAGTGCTACATTGCATCAGTCAAGAACAATTATAAATATGCATCTAGTTAATAGTTTTTCATGTAAAAAAATAAAATGCTGTGATTTTCCCAGAGAGGATGCAACTTGGAGGAGTTCAGTATGACGAAGCGTGTAAAATAGAAAAATTCACAAAACAAATTCTATTGTTGCAATATGAAAATTCAAAATGCCCCAAATATGTTTACTGTGACAACTGTATACAGATGTTCCCATGGAAGTTAACTCAGTCAGACCTTTCTGTTCCGTTTACGTTGTTTGCATATTTATTCTTTGTATAGGAATACAGCATTTGACCATCTTCCAGAAGCAGAGTGAAGGATTTCTTTCTGTTGGTTTTGTTCCTTCTTCTCTACTTTGTAGAGTTATAATTAGTAAAGCTCTTTAATACATAGATTTTATTTTCAAAATAAAGAAAGCTGCAGAAACAATTTAATATTAATTTTGACACAAAGACAGTTATTAAGCTACACTTACTTTTTGCCTTCTCCAACGTGATCAAGAAGCTACACTACATGAACACCAGAACATTTCTCTGTTATCAGTGAAAACTTAACTCTCTGCATATTTGGCAGGCAGGAAAATAAGTTTGTCCCCATTTTAAATAATGGGACAGAGAGACAAGCATCACAATTCATCTAAAATCTTCTTCAGATATCTTAGCCATTCAGATATCTATAGACTAATACAGAAAACAAATTAGGATTTTTTTTTTAATTTGTGGTCAAAGATACAGAGCATCTCCTTTTTGCAACACATAGAAGGACAAACGGTGTTGAAGGTGCATAACTAAGGAATTCTCAGTTCTACTCTTATTTCTACACCATGTCTTGTTTGACCTAAATGGATACATTATATTTTTATCAATCTGGGTTGGTACCATAGTGCATACTGTCTATATTCTCACAAATTACCAGAGTTTATATCAACAGAGTCAAAAGCAAGAGAGTTGGGGCACAGGTTCTCAGCCCCTAGAGTGCATACCACTACAGACAGGCAAAAATCTCTTACTCACAGGAGACTGACAACCACAGTTCAAGCAGTGAGCCTAGATCAGAACTAGGGCTGCCTCTTCACATCAGTGGACATGGAAGTATACCTCCTTCTGCTCACACACATGACCTGGCTCCTACCTTATACCATCTCATGCTACCAACCTTCTCGTTACCTGAGGGTACTAAGTTTGGGTATCCCCGGCTCTAAGACGGGAATCGCATACTAAGCATGACAATATAGCAGAAAGGGTTTTGCACCCTGTACCAAGTTGCAAAGAAGTTTTTCCTCCTCTTTGTGAGCATAGCAGCCACAACACTGTCTGGCAAAACTGTTTGGCATGGAACTCAGCTTCGGTACACTAAGCCTGTTTTACTGATACAGAATTTCTCTTGCTTCAAGAAATTTATTATTATTTGGATCTGCTTTACACAATATACTGCTGTTGAATAAAGTGGTGTCAAGGGCAAATCTGGTTTCCTCTGCGAAGGCTTCATCTTGCAAGACCAAGAAATGCTGGGGATGCTTCAGGCAATGGTGTGCAAAATGAAAACATACCCTTGTTAGCAGAAGACACTGCTGTCTCTCAGAGAAGGGCAGCTTTTATAAAGCTATTGATGTATCTCTGTTAAATCAGGCTCTTGCGCTTCCTGTATTATCTGCTATTAACCTGCTCACAGCCTAAAGAAAAGCTACTAAGAAGTTTAGGACTAGACAGCAAGGATGGGTTTTGAATCTACCTATTTCCTTGATACCGATCTACGGGTCGTGACACAGCATTAATCTGTGCTATTACATACAGTAAGAGAGGGTGACAAAGCGTCCATGGCAACAAAACCTAACAGTAGCCACTGGTAGCCCTACTTGAAAGGATTTGCTATTGTTAGTGTTATCTTTGTCAGCAAGAGTAAAGAGGGCTGACTTTTTCTAAAAGGGTTTAGGAAGACAACTGTGGCTGGCAGCTCTATGAAAAGCTGTTAAGTCTAGACATGCTGATAGACACTTCTAGTTTATACCCAGATGGCAGCTCTGAAGTTATCAGCATGAGTGGAAGTCTTCAATTCTGAAGTCATCAATGGCTAACAATCCCACACTTCCAAGGGAGCGGGGATGAAAGAAAGAGATTGCATCTCTTCTGAAAAATACACAAATGCTACCATGATGGACGTGCAATAAAAATTTGAAACATAATGCAGCGAAAAAGACAGTGTACCATCTAAGTATAGCTAAGTATCTACTTTCATGTGCTACTGCTGTTGGCCATTGCGGGGAATGCAGGCACAGCTCATTAGGATGTAATTCATCTATCATTAAATAATTAATCAAAATAAAAATACTTTCTTATCTAAATGCATGATATAGATCAAGATGTTAAAAGGAGCAATTCCAACTTGTTAGCACTGTTCTTGTCAGAGTAATTTATAATAGCACCTCCTTGAAAAGAGAAAAAATTCTAGAGATGTTCACCAAATTTTAATGAAGTTCTGCTTAAAAAATGGCTTTACCTTTTTTTAAAATGTATATTCACTTTTCGCTTTTCTTTCAGGTGGACACTGAAATACTGTAAAATACAGGTGCTAAATCAACCTCCTTCTTTTCAGCACTGCTGCAAAGTGCTAGCCAAAATCTAGAGACAGAGCTCATCATTAGGTAGGCAACTGATCTCATGTATTATTTACACAGAAGATCAAAATAAAGGTGAAAACTGAAACTACATCTGCAAATACACGTATCAAATAACTGAAAGATCACCTGAACAAAATACAGAGGAACTATTCTCAACGGTACAGGCTTGGCTATCTGAAGAGGTTTTAGCAGAAGAAGGGATGAAGATCCCAAGTCGTCCTACGGGAAATCTCAGTGCTTCAAAGTATAAATGTGAATCACTTGTCACTACAACAGATACCTATAATAACAAGACTCATAAAAGACACAGTATCTGCTATTTGTATTTCAAATTCTAGATTTCTTGGGGCATCAAATCCGTGAAGCATACCCAACATCAAATCTGTGAAGCACACCCAACATCACTTCATCAAAATATCCCCACTTCTGACACAAGTAAGCAGTAATAATGTTCTTCCAAACGATTCTCCATTTGCCTGGAAACTAGCCCCTGGCTAAAGCACAACAGGCATATACTTTAATAATCTCTTGATTACCTGGATACAGCCTGGAACACCTAATAAATCTGTCAATTTTTCAAGTGGAGTGGGATTGATTTCCCCAGGGTTTATTTGTCAGTTCTGTTTTAGTATTTAATATGAAGAGAAAATTATCAGAGAAGGTCAAAGCTGACATGAAAAACTAGAAAGAGTGCAGACTGATAAAGACTTTTGCTACATATAAAATAAATATCTACTTGCTTCTTCTTGAGTCCTGTCTTCATTCAGTTTTTCTTTAACATAACATATGCTTGGTGGCTTGTAACAAATACAACTCTCTAACACGCTCAAAAAGCCAGGAGTTTTCAGCATTTGAATAGTAATTAAGTAAAAAAAATTAGGTGTTTTCTTCCTACCATTTTGCTATCAGCCAATTGCATTTACCACAATCATGACTATTTAAAGCAGAAAATTACTTAAAATTAGATATTTAAGTAAAAGTGTGAGCCCTTCTGATCATTTTAATGCTCAGTTGTCTAACCAAACTAATTTAATGAAGAGATTTTCCATTTTGTATATGCTCTATATTGATGCCAACCTTCATCAGTATAAACAAATGCTATATTGCTTTATAAATAAGTTTAACCTTTGGTAATACAAACAGTATTTAAATGGCTTGTTCTAATCCTCTTTGTTCTCTAATTTAGAAATCAAATTTGATACAGACTTGCACTGGATTTTTCCAGGGATTTAAAGAATGTATTAAAAAAAAAAAAACTTAAAAAAGTATACATAAAAGAATTTGAATTTAATAAGGAAAGATAGCACAAAGAGTATTCCAAATAATTAAATAATATATGTAGCCAGGTTGTTTCAAAAAATCACACTTAGTAGGAACGTGTGCAGTATACATTTAGATGAATGTAGTTATGCATATTCATTTTGATTTTCCCTATAGTGGAAGTTTATCTCAAAGTTTAAAATGCCCATTGGAGTTTTCATGGGAATTCTTCCAAACCATCTTATTATAGCACTGCACAGCTAAAATTCAGCAAACTCCTTACAGTTTTAAGTATTATATATTTCAGATTTATCTGAGAGGCATGGCAATATTACCAACGTAGTATACTGTGCTTAATGTAAAATCCTACCAATTATCAGGCTTTTATTACAGTATTTAGTGTTAAACTCTTCACATTTGCACATACCTTCTCCCATATTTTCAGTGTCAGATCCTGCAAAATTTTAAAATAATTCTATTGCACAGAGCTAGCTCTAGTTCAGAGCTAGTCAGTTTCTATGGATGTTCATTTGTGTGTGTGAATTTCACATACGAGTAAAATTTTTTTCCATGTTTGATCTCCTTTAGACAATGCTGCATCAGACAAAGGAATTTAGTCTCAGAGCACTTTTTACTCTTCACTTCTGGAAGGAAGAAAAAAGAAAGTTTATTTTACCTGAGTTTCCACACCTTGCTCCAGCAACCTTTTAGCTTGATTTTCCACCTCAAGCCGAGCTCTCGCAATAAAAAGTAGGTCATTTTCAATTACTTCTATTCCAGAGAGATCTATTCCTTGAGAAAGGTAATCTATAAAAGCAATAAAACATTGATAAGCATGACATATGATAATGGAACATTTTAAACATGCTAAAACACTTAGGAGTTACAGTGCCAAGGGACATTTTCACACACAACACTCGACAATAATGTATGCCAAAGTAATGTACTATACCAAATAAACTGAAAATCAAAAGATTATTACTCAAGAAAATATGGATATTAAACACATTGAATTTATTTCGCAGCATTTCTCTGGACGCAAACATTTCTGAAGATTTGTATTCTGTGAATTCTAGAAATCCCAGGATCATAAAAGACAAGATGGGAAGGCGCAAAAAGTCATCTCCTTGTCCTGAAGGATTAACTGTATACCTAAACTTCTCTAAACGGATGTTTGAATAAGCATCTCTAATATCTGAAGTTCCATAATCTTCATACAGTTTAGACTTCCTAGTCTGTATGTCATAGATGATAGCAGAATTTATTTTTAAAAGCCACAGTTAGAATGGTCAGTTCGTTGATGAAATTGTGACAAACACTCCTAAAAATTAGTGCCGTATGAGTTACGCTATTATCACACCTTTACCTGTCATGCAAGTTTTGAGGGCAGAATTAGAATGTAAAAAATAAACGAAGGAAAAAGTCCAAGAATAACAAAAAAATCTTAACTGAAAAATACAGAAATAACTCAAACCTCACAAATATATTATGATGATTGCCAAAACAGAAAATTTGTTCAACCCTTACTAGGAAGTAGCATGGCTTAGCAATTATCAAGTCTTTGGCTTCTCATTTTCTTTTCTTTGCTCCGCCATTGTGCTGCTCAGGTGCCATAGGCAAGACCATTCTCAGTTCTGTGCCTTAGTTTTTACATCTTAAAACTAGAGGAATATTGAACCAACCTTCACTGCTGAGCACTGCTAAAAGTGCTAGCTAAAAACCAGATGAGGCATGTGTTTTCATGCAAATTATTTACATAGGAGCTCAAAATAGAACCTAAAGCTACAAAGGAAAAATCCACAGCAAGTAATTGAGGAATCACATGGACAAAGTACAGCAACATCACTTACATAGGCTAGTCTTAACTACTATGAGGGAGAAAGCTTACCTGAGCAGCTCTGTAATATAAAATAGAAAAGCAAAGAAGAAGATCCCAAACCCTCTCACAGAAGATCTTCAAGTCTGGAGAGCATAAAAATGAGTCTGCTTGTTACAGAAATATATAACTACAATGATAAGAGACTCTGAATAGACCAAATTTTATAACCCTCAATAAAATATTCCTAAATCTTATTTTCCTCGTGTTCAATGTGAACACGCCAGCATTCAGCTCAGCATCACAGCACACCTGAACCAGAAGTACACTGTGCCCACCTACTGAAATCCCCTCTAGTTAAAAAGCATCAGAGCACTGAGTACAGGGACACACTCTGAATTTTTCAAAGCAAAGGCCGAATACACATCTTCTAGAGCACACTTCTTCCTAAGATAAATTCACAGGCTTTGCCTAACAGCACCTCAAACTTACATCCCTCTTCCACTCTTTGTCCATGGAAGTACTAACAACATCCTTCTGAACCACCTTCAGTTTGACTGGAGAGGTCCCTGCCTAAAACACAAGAGGCACCTACTTAAATTATTTTTTAACTATATCCCTAATAAATCTGTAATTTCTTCAATGAAAGACTAAAACTGACCCACTGACTCCATCAAGTTCTTTCTTAAAATTTCTTTTAATGCCCTTTTTTTTTTAAATGACATTAAGGTCTTTGCGTGCTGCGGTCACCAGTTATCGTGCAGATTACACTGATCCACCGTCTCCTTGCACTCTCGCATCTGTTTATGTCCATCTCTTACAGTACAGTCAAAACACTCCTGCAGAAATGCTTTCATCATTTATCTATATGGTACCTGAAATTACTTTTACTCCCATCTCTTTCTAAAGCACAAGTACTAGATATTATTCCTCCAAGAAAATCTAGGGATAGTAGATGTTAAAAGCGCTTATTCTCCATTTAAGAGGAAAGATTTAATTTGCCCGGGACAAGTGCAAGAAGAATAGATATGCAAGTTCCAAATAACTAACAATACTTTTATTTCCTTCCATCAAAACCAATATTCATAAATTAATCTGTAAATTAGGCTGCCTCATGCTGGCACTTAGCAGGGCATTAAGATTAGCAAATCAATTTTTAAAAGTAGTTTTAAAAAATGGCATGTCATGGATGTCAGCTTTCTCTAGACTACACAAATTATACAAAAAACCCTGTAAATCCAAATACAAGGCACAAACAGAATATGTTCATACAGCTAAAACTGTTAAACTAGGTATATTTACAGTCTAGATAAATCAAAAGAAATGAGAATTAACTTTTTCCAGAGTAATTTTGGTGATGTAAGCGTAGTTCGAGAGTCTTCTTCATCTGAGCAAGATATAACTTTAAGTGGGTTCCCTGGAAATACCAAGCATATCATGTAGACAGCTAATCTGATATGACGACCAGGGATCAAACTTGTATTCTTCTAGCTAAGCAGCAAAAAATAATGAAATTGAACCGGAATAGCTTGCCGGTATAGTAATTTATCGCCAAGCTTGTTGACATGTTGGTCAGAAACCAGTCTACTGGTCGTTTTAGTGCTTGCCCAAAGGCAGATGGAAAATCTTTGAGAAAAAGCAGAAAAATACCTAGTGAGGATTTTTTTTTAATGAAAATATAATAAAGAAATGCACACAAAACTTTTATACCTATGAATGACTGTTTTCAGCTGAAATATGACGACTCTTTAAATTATTTTAGTATCTTAAATGTGTTCACATTTAACAATAATTTATTAATCATACTGTTTCGTATATTAAATAACTATCCAAAGAAAACAGTACACCATGCAAATTTTGCAGATCTGATGTTTAAGAAGCACTAAATTTCAGTGTGCTACACTTTTCAGATATTATGACTGCCTAACTACATTTCGTAGAAGATACTGTTGCCATTGAATATGTGAAAAATTTCACGCTATAGGTTTAAAGTGTCTTACCCATTGTGGTGTCCTGAACCCATTGGAAGAATGGGTATTTCTGTTATTAGAAATATAATAGGTGTATATATGTTAACATATTTAAATTATACGTAACATATAAAAATTATATATTATCAAATGCGTAAAGCAAAATTGCATGAAAAGAAAAAAAACTTTTTTCATTTTTAATTATAAAAATGGATCTCCAGCAGTAAGGCGCCTATGGTCTGGCCTGGTTACTACAGAAAAAAGTCTGTTCTACTTCAAATTTTGTCACTGGTTATGTAGATTTGTTCAAATCGCTTAACCTTTCTGTCTTTAATTAGTGACAGCAGAACTATCACTGACAGCCAGTACTCCAGCAAGTAGAAAGCCCGTGTCCTTGCCTCCCTTTAGCTAAGGGAGGTGTGAATCTGTGACATCCTTTCTCCCAGACTCATTCACTTTCTTTCCAAGGGGGCAGGCAACATTCTAATCCCTACTCTTTGGACTATTTAAGACTTTCAAATGAGACTGTGTTAGATAAAAAAACACAACCCAGGGAACAAAGACCAGATTTCCACACTCCCCAAGATCCCTGACCTGTACGAGAAGGCCTGGAGGATGTTCCTTTCCAGACGTTTTGGACTTGTTGTCACGCTCTATTGGGAAGCAGGAACTCTATACTCGACCTCCTTCAGGCTAATGAGGCCCAGAGCTAGAACTCAAATCATTCAAATGTTACACAGTTACACCTGTAACTACTGCACATTTTTGTAAATCAAACCAACTATGGCCACTGCTCTCAAAACCATGTTCCTGGAACATGGAAAGCAAGCTCTGAAAACTCCTACTTCTTCATGCTCCTCCAAGGACAGACCCGCTGTCCACTTAAAACTCTGAATTTCAATAGAAGTTAGGAGGTGGGAACTGAATGATTAACTTTATCAATTTGGACACTTCAGAACATGCTTGGGTACCTTAGGTCCCCAGGGAATTGTAAAAGCAGCCTAAGAAGATACTCTGTAAACCTGAAAAACCTTGAAGGTTAGACAATGTCTTAATTTTTTTTAATATCTTTCTAGATTTAAACCTGCCCAATTCTGCATTTCAGTAGCGTAGACCTTGACGCTACTGCTCATCTCCAAGACAATACAGACCTGCTTTCATTCACATATTTATCAGCATTTTGCTCAATCGAGCACGAAACAGGGCTTCCACTACTTCTTTGGAAAGAAAAATAATCAATAAAACTAACAAAAGAACAGTCAAAGCATTTCGCCCAGAATGGCACACTTCCTTCACAGAACAATGTTCCACTATTTCAATTTATACCCAGCTCACTACGACTTCCTTATAAAGTTCCCTTCTTTTTGGGTCCCTTCAGTAAGTTTCTTAAGCCACAGACTTGAGCTCCTAAGCTTTCCTACTAAGCTAACTTAGTAGGTTATTTAGCTAAACCTTTGCCAAGCAACCTTTCACTTTAGTAGCGAGTTATTTTTGTTTATTGAACAAATGAATCTAAGCACTTAATTAGTTTTTGTGCCCACACGTTCGTAACTGAACACAAAATTCCAGGTGAGTCACTTCACCGCTAGGTAGAGAAACACTTCCCTGTTCCTGCATACAAAAACACCTGCATAACAAACTGAAATAAAAAGTTTAGAGAAGTATTGCATAAAGCTTAAGAGAGTTATTTCCTTTATGCCTTCCTAACAGTACTGTATGTCAAATAGTCTACTAAAAATAGCCCTGCAAATGCTTTTGTCTGTAGGCATTTGTTTAAAAATTGATCAGAGAAGTCAATGGACAGTTGAACAGCAGGAAAGAACAGCCCATGCTATTAACGACGCCGTACACACGCGCGTGCTTACAGAGCTGCTTTTGCTGGCGGCTGCAGCAGCTCCTCTTACCCAGCTTACTTCACAGCAATTTTTAACTGTGACTAAGCAGCATTATCTGAAGGTGGCCTTACATATGAACCTATTAAAACTAATATTAAACTCCCACTAACTTCAATTACTAACTTC